AAATAAAAAAAAATAAACAGAATACATGGACTGTGAAATGAGTTGGGCATATAGGTGGTGCATGCCTGTAGTCCCAGCTTCTCAGGAGGCTGAGGCAGAAAGATTGCTTGATGCCAGGAGTTTAAGGTTGCTGTAAGCTAGGCTGACACCACGGCACTCTAGCCCAGACAACAGAGTGATTCTCTGTCTCAAAAGATATAGACTGAAATGAACTACAGGAGAATTGCCAGCCAAGTCTCACACTGGCTGCTGGTTGTGTGCACATGAGACAGATTCCAGTAGCAATATAACAGTTTTAAACACTGAACTGACACTGGAAACACAACTTACAGTATGCTGGTTGGAACTTGTGGCCTGAGTTCAGCTGTACTAAATGCCCACTAAAACAAAACAAAAAATAGAATTCTATGTATCATTAAATAAGACCCAGAAATTCATATATTCAAAATGTCAAGGATACAATACAAAATTACTTACATACAAATAATTGACATACAAATAATTGAGAAAAAAATCACTCAATACCAAAAAAAAAAAAAAAAACAAACAGATGTTGGAACTATCTGACAAAGATTTCTAAGTAGTTATAAAAATTCTCCAAGGTAACAGTGAATACTCTTGAAGTGAATGGAAAGAAAGTCTCAGCAAAGAAATATTAGGTTATTAAGTATGAAATGCCTGATTTTCTTAAGTTCTAAGTGTGACAGTTGATATCTCTGACATTTTACTTTGACACTTCTTGGTTTTTATTATGAAGGTACATCCTCAGTCTTGCAAATTCATGTTTTGGCTTGTGATTATTTTTCACATTTTTTTAGAGCAATTTTTGTGAAACCATAGATAAGTCAAAAATTCCTATTATTTTCTAATATGAGTTCTGTGTGGAACAAATGCAGTGCAGACAGCTCAAAATCAGTGAAGTGTTTGGGAAGGATGTGGCTAATGAACCCACAGTACATTAATGGTTTGAGGTTTGAGAAGTTCCATTCTGGTGATTTTAATCTTGAAAATGAGTCATGTGGGCAACCTGAGACCAAGGTGGATAATGATGAGCTAAAAGCTGTAGTGGAAGCCAATCCATCTCAGCCTCCTTGTGAATTAGCATCAAGATTTGATGTTACTATTCCAACAATATTGGACCATTTAAAACCAAATGGGTGAGGTAAAGAAGCTGGGTAGATGGGTACTGTGTGAATTAAATGAGCATCAGAAAAGAAACCATCTCGAAGTTTGTCTTTCTTTGCTGTCACAACATAAAGGTGAACCATTTCTACACCATATTGTTATATGTGATGCAAGATGGATTCTTTTTGATAGTCGCAAACGTTCGCCACAATGGTTGGCTACAGATGAAGTGCTGAAACATCGTCCAAAACTTAATATTCATCTAAAAAAGCTAATGGTGTCTGTCTGTGGTCCAGCACTGGTGTTATCCACTACAGTTTCATGAAACTTGGTCAGCTGCTTACAGTGGATGTCTACTGCAACCTTTTGGACAAAATGATAAGGGTGCTTATGATTAAGCAGCTGAGATTGGTCAATAGAGACAGGCCAATCATCTTGCAAGACAATGCTCAACCACATGTCGCTCAAACCATAACAGCTAGACTTGGAAACTCTGTCATCCACCACATTCACCAGACTTTGCACCAACTGACTACCACTTCTTCCAGGTTTTGGACTACTTCTTGCAAGGAAAAATATTCAATGCTCAACAAGCTTTGGAAAACGCCTTTCACGATTTCATCACCACTCACTCTCTAGTCATCTTTGCTACTGCCATAAATAGGCTACCATTAACATGGCAAAACTGTGTCAATAGTTTAGATGCATACTTTGATTAATTGTACTACTTCTTGTTTGAGATATAATAAATTACACTTTTGATTTGAAATCAGACATTTCATATTTCATGACCTAATATCCATGAATAGTTAGCCTTGTCTACATGCAAAGTTCTATGCTAAATGCCTTGCGCATATTATTTGATCTAATCCTCAAGAGCATCCTATATTTTTCTATTTCCTTATTTTACAGACTAGGAAGCTGACCCACAGATAGGTTGCAATTGTGAGAGATACTGAACTATACTAAGTGATAGACCTGAGTTACAAATCCAAAAAATTTTATTCTAGGGATTATATTTCTTTTTCTTTTTTTTTTTTTTTTTTGAGACAGAGTCTCACTTTGTTGCCCAGGCTAGAGTGAGTGCCATGGCATCAGCCTAGCTCACAGCAACCTCAAACTCATTGGCTCAAGCAATCCTGCTGCCTCAGCCTCCCGAGTAGCTGAGACAACAGGCATGCGCCACCATGTCTGGCTACTTTTTTCTATATATATTAGTTGGCCAATTAATTTTCTAATTATAGTAGAGACGGGGTCTCGCTCTTGCTCAGGCTGGTTTCGAACTCCTGATCTTGAGCTATCCACTCGCCTCGGCTTCCCAGAGGCTGATTACAGGCGTGAGCCACCGCGCCCGGCCTAGGGATTATATTCTTAATCAGTGTTTTTCAAATTGTTTCAACTTATTTGTGGATCATGAAATCAATTCAGTGTCCCTATTATATAAAAAATTAATGGAATAGAAAATATCTGAGTTCCTTATATGGAAGAGTAAATGCTATTTTATGAATCTCTATAAGCATATGTATAGGTTTCTTGCATGTGTGCACGTGCATGCTAGGTCGCAAAAATTTCGAAATACACTAGAGCACTGTGCTCTTCTTAACAAGTTCTGCCCTCTGGAGAAACTAGTTGAAATGTATTCCTTATAGATGTGCACTGGTTATCTATTGCTGCTTGACAATTAACCCAAAATCTTAGTGTACTAAAAGAGCAATTATTATTATCTCACAGTTTCTGTGGGCCAGAAAAAGCCCAGCAGGCATGGCTTAGCCAGCTCCTCTAACTCTGAATCTCTCATAAGACTGCAGTTACCTGAAGGCTAGACAGGACATATTTTCTTTCTAGCTCACTCATTTAGTCATCAGAAAGATTCAGTTTATTCCAGGCTGTTGGACCAAGATCTCAGTGCCTCATATATTGACTAGCAGTCTCCTTCAGCTTCTTGTTACACAGGACCTCTCTATATACAGCATCTTACAACATGGCATCTTGCTTTTAGAGCAAGCAAGAAGGCAAGAGTGCAAAGGAGAGTGTCAGCGAAAAAGAGAAGGTCTAACAAGATGGAAGTGATAGTCTTTTGTAACCTAATCATGGAAGTGACATCCCATTATTTTTGCTGTATTCTGTTTGTCAGAAGCAAGTCACAGTATCTGGTTCTGCATATACAGAGCTTGAAAGTCAATACTCTATATTAACAAAAAGTAAAAAGCTGAACAAACTGAATAATCAGTAACTCTTCTTAGATCTATAAGAGATGTGAGGTCATAGGGCAAACTACTGCCATCCAAATTGGAGAGATAGAAAGGCAGATACAGAGAATCACAACATACCTAAGCAAAAAGCAGTTTGGGGACCAGTGATGGGGCAGGAAAACCTGAACTCCGAATGAACTGCTAGAGGCTAGCTTTAGGCAAGTCTGAGAGGTTAAAACTCCTGGGGGACCCACTCATAGAAGGGCCCCCATGCTTTTGTGAGTTTTTACTCCAGAAGCTCAAACAAGTTATCACAGTAAATATTAGAGAAAGAGCTCCTTCTGCTTCCAGCAGGGTGATGAGTAAAAAAACATTATGAAATACACCAAGGAAATCTGTTCTTCCTAACAAGATCTGGCCTTAGGAGAAACTAGTTAACCATAGCCCAACCTACTGGGGTTTTACCAGAGCCCAGCTGATCTAGGGGATGGGAAATATCCAACTTCAGCAAACTCTAGCCTTCCTCATGGGAGAAGGGAAATATCCAACTGCAGCCCTCTTTAGCCATCCTGTCCCACCTAAGTGGGGAGAAATAACCTAAGAAGCATTTGTGAAGTTCACAGTCCAGAAGCGTAGGCTCGCTGAAACACTAAGACCTAATCATAGGACT